CCTGAGATTGCTTCCGCCGGGCCTGCTGCAATCATGAACAATAAAAGTCTGATGCAGACTTGGTACGAGGATATTTTAGCCCGACGTTACACCGTTGTAATTGTACCGGAGAGCAATGCATGAAAGAACAAATACAATCTAGTCAACATCACTAGGAGTGTTCAAAGCTGAAAACTTCATATTTTGAAAGAGATTTTGAAGCAAAAGATTTTGAACCGTGATTCTTGTACAGAAAAACTGTGATTCTTGTCCAGATATGTATGGGTGTATCTTGAGCTTTGGAGTTTGCTCAGGTTTGCTCCACTTCAAAATCATAGGGGGGCACATCCATACTCAGTGATACTCCCTTCTGATCATATCTGTACGAGAATCAATGTTCATCTGTACAAAAATCACAGTTCAAAATTCTCGCTTCAAAATCTCTTTCAAAATGTCAAGTTTTCAGCTTTGAACACTCCTACTCACAACTAGTACTTCCTGATGTAATCAAATTTGGATGCATTCCTCGGACCATGCTTTCAAAATTAAGCTTAGCATCACTTCCCTTTGGATTTATGAAATTGATCTATTTCAGGAAGGTCATCAGATTTTGTGGATGGTTCAGTTGTCTTGGATCGGGCATTATTTACGCCAAAACGAAATGAAAATAGAAGGCATCATGCTTTAATCATTATATATATATAACTCCAATTAGTACTTCTCATCTTCGATCATGGGAGTTGATACTTTTCTTTCACTCTTTTTTCAGTCAAAAATTCAATAAATGAGTCAACATCTCAATCTTCAATGTTCCCAAAAAAGCGTTTATAATTTTTTCAATCAAATCGTAACCAAAGATGAAAGGATTTAAACTAACAAAATTGGTTCAGTGAGGAAACATACAATCCACAAACTACCTTTATGTAGTTAATATATTCAGGACTCTAACAATACCACTCCTGACCGCATGCATGTCAGGATCATAGCTTCTTGCTTATAATAACACGCTTCGAGGCCTCAGTGTGCTTGGTTCCACGTTGAAGCTTTCAGTACTGTCTTTGTTGTTGCACGAGCTGCTTCAAAACACATCAAATTTTCATCCTTACATCTCTTCCATTGACTTTCTTTGTTCTACTCAGAGTTTAGTCATCACACTAGTTCTTTGCCCGAAAACTAATCCTAACTCATCGAATTTGTTTCTCTAAAATTTTACTATCTGCCTAGTTTTAAATTTCACAGTACGTTGGGTTCTTGGAGACCCCTTTGATCATAATCAGTTCTTCCAATCCCCTTAATTAGCACGTATTATCTTTTGATGACATGTATATCTCAAGATTCCGTGTTGTATTGTGCGACAGGTTCACAGAACAGATACTTAGGTTTCAATATCACAATTTGAGACCTAAGTATCGGTACTGCAAGCCGCACAACCAACCCTATCATGGTACCGTGTGGTACTGACAGGTCCACAAAACCGATACTTAGGTTTCAATATCACAAATTGAGACCTAAGTATTGGAACTGCAAGCCGCCCGACCTACCACTTGGACAACCAACCACACCCGCGCACAAACATTTACCACACCACAGATCACCACCGATTCCCGTCTTTCGTGGCTGAGGATAACATCAGCCCAACACCTTTCCTCCTCGATCTCCACACTCGCCACCAGTCATGTCTCCAAGGAAAGTATGGTACGTGGATTGTTATCCTCCACTTTTCATCCAACGCGTGCCTGCTTCAGGATCCCTTGCTCCTAGCCGGATCTTTGAGCTTGACCCGTATGCTTTCAAGGACACCCGGATGTGTCTCTGATAGCATGAAGCAGGTTACGCTTGGGTTTGTAAGCTGAAACTGACAAATCGTCATCTTCACTTCATGCAAGTTTTCTGATTCGCAAACAATCATCAATACTGGAACCAAGTGGGCAAATTCTTCCTTCGCAAGTCAAACAGCTCAACTGAATCGGATCCGCGCTCAAGAAATCAACATCCGAGCTCGAAATGCACGCATCCGAAAGCCAGTGGACCAGCACCTGAAGATGCGTCTCAAAGATCATGCCGAGCCGATTGACATCCAGGCCTACGATAATTTCTTTCCTACAACCTGCAAACAACCAGTACGTCCCCTTTCGAGATCTCTCGTAATCACTGCCCTTTTCCACGATCTTGGTCTGAAGCCTCCAAACTTTGCAGGTTCGTCACGGTATGTCACATCACACTCGAATCGGTTCCCTTTGGCAATGCCAACACAACTCTCAAATCTTTCAACAAACAATGTGATGACGCCAAGTAAGTACATGCCCTTGCCAACTGAACGGTCCCACTCGTTTTCTTACTCTTTCTCTTCAGTTCATCAACGAAGATATGTATCTGTATCCACAAGCATGAAGGGTTTCACAACCAAGCGGCTTGCAATTCATGTCTTCTAGAATTAGAGACAAAGAAACTCAAGGTATTATTTGTTAGATTGACATCCATATTCTAGAAGACATGAATTGGTTTTCTTCATAGATATCATACCGTTAAGTTCAATGAAAGATGCCTATGCATCTTTCAGCGTGAAGAATAACTGGATCATACCGTTAAGCTCAATGAAAGATGTCTATGCATCTTTCAGCGTGAAGAATAACGTGATAAAGGCAAAAATAAATATGTGAATATTTTTGTCTTTTGCAGCATTTTGTTCTTACGCACCGCTCATGCCATCCGTGCCGATTCACATTGACTTCTTGTGCTTGTGTTCGCACTATTCATATCTCAAAACACATTCTTCAAAACTTTATTATAAAACTCACATCTATCACTCCTTATTTCTGCTTCAGGTATTTGGTTAGCATTAAGTTTGACTTGGAACGAACTTCAAACAATCAACCTCAAAAAATCAATTTCCTCTTTCATTCGACTTGGTTTGAATCAAGATCTAGTGGTTAAATCACAACATTGTGATTGGTTTTTCTTATGCCGGTGGAATCCAATCGCACCCGTTGTACAAATGAATTTGTAAGTGATTTGTACTGCTTCAAATATTGATGAATCAAACAGTCACTAATTGGCTCCCTATTCATCCTCTACATTTATCGCGCGCGCCATCCACAACATTGTGATTGGTTTTTCTCCTGCTGGTGGAATCGTACCCGTCGTGCATATCAATTTGTACGACAGGTACGTACTGATTCAAATATTGATGAATCATACAGTCACTATTCGACTCCCTATTACCCTCTATATTTATCGCGCAGGCCATGTTTTGAACCTCTAGTAGCAGTTGTCTCAATTTTTAGATTTAGTAGTTGAAGAATCGCAAGGTCATGATTGGACATTCTTCTGCTGGTGGAATCCCACTTGTTGTACCAATTAAAATTTTGGAAAGTTATTTGTTGTGTATCAAATATTGACAAAACCAACTAGTCACTATTCAACTCCCTATAGATTGTCTAGATTTATAGCGCGCCCCATGTTATGATATAGTAGCATTAGCAGCCGGCGATTACTTGATTATCCTGAACATGGGTGTTAGACCATGCTCAGAACAGTGGTTTTCTGCTGTCGTTGCTTTTTTTTCGCCTGGTCATCATCCTTGGTCTCATTTTCATGTTTCATGATGTTAATGTTAAGTTAAAAGTTGTTGAATAGACGCAATGAAGCCATTCAGAACAACTACATCCAGCCATCTCAATAACAAAATTGACCTTCATTGAGTATCACATACTGAAAATTTGGTCCATGTAATAGTGATGAGTCTCTTAGAAAATAACTACGTTCATTTATGAAATAGGAAGGAATACTTAGAATTTTGACAATGAAGAGAAATTGTCTTATACTTACAATTTGAAACATGAAACACTTGAAGTGATGGAAATGATGTTGTTAATTTCAAAGTTGTAAGATAATGACACAGAGAAACTCCTCTAAAGATTTGCTTTATATTGATTGCAGTGACGCTGGACAAAGACATAACTCGAGCCCTGAAATGGTAGATAAATGTGATTATCAACCACAAGTTTGTTGACACATAGTTTGATTTAGTAATCAATCACTTACAAGGATGCCTATTGCCTGTAATACCTGATATTACAGGCAATAGGGGTCTTTGCTGCATGACTCCATTTGGGGCATTACCAAGAGTATAAGTAGTTTGGAACTAGCAATATTGCCATATTGCATTGATGTTGTCACAGTTGTTGCAATATTTTTCTACCTAAACTTGGAAATTACATCCAGGTGTAGTAATGAATGACCAAACTCATGTTACTTGAATCATTTTCACCAACATGATTGTGATTATATTATGAACCACAACTGCATACCACAACTTCATTGCAGTGTGCTGCAGGCAGAACTGGGTCATTTATCACCAACACCAATAGATGACTTGGGTTGTACCTTCAACGTTGAATATGTGTGACATTAACATTAATGTTCATGCAGGTGTTGCAATGCGGGACAAAAAATTCATTGCTGGATCAACTTGCACATGTGTAGTTGCAAGTGTTCAGTGTTCTCATTGAAGACTGTGTTGTACCTAATTCCTTGAATGCAACGGTAATGAGCATGAATGTTCACCTGCAAGAGGGGTGAAGGCTGGACAAAAATGTGATCTCTTGACAAACTTGCACAACCGCAGTTCATAAGTGTGTGTGTGATTCATCTGGGTCCTGCTATTAAAGCAATGGAAGTTTGTAGGACTGTCAATACTCCTACAATTGATGAATGCAGCTTTATCAGATTCATAGCAGTGCACGTGATATGATCTTGCAATTCGAGATCATGCTGGGAAGTTGTTCCACTAATAAATATGAAGTGCACCAAACTCATCTTATTACCGTGGACAAGTTGTGAAGGCCTACTGAGAACCTTGATTTAGAGTTAGGTAGAATTCTTCAATCAATGTCATTGTAAGATTCAACCGCCGGTGAATCTTACAATGACATTTGTTCAACCTAAATAAATAATATCTCTTAGTCTTCAAGACCAAATGTAAAGGATGTAAATATATTGAAAAAAGATGAAGTTTTGTGCAGACTTGGAAATCATAAGACAAAATACAATTATAGGATCAGATTTGTTAGTTTAAAGAGGAAAGAATTTGATTATAGGATCAGATTTGTCAGATTAAAGAGGAAAGATGGTACCTTGGGGGATTTTGGAGACTCACAAAAGGAGAGAGAATGTTGTAATTCTCTCTCTATGGATTCTGACCGGATTGGTCCCTGATGTGGCTGTGCAAGTATCATCAGACATCAGACAAGATTTGATGAGAGAATGAATATGTTCTGCGGGAGAAAATGAAAGCATCAGTCAGACGTAGCTTAGAGGAATCCTTCATAAAATTAGGGGTTTTCCCCCGGTGGGAAGTTTAGTAGTAATCTAATAAGTTCTTGTCCTTGACGTGAGACCATTGAAATCCTCTTTCAAAACTTCCAAGATGACACAAGGTGGGCAAGCAACCAACCCAATTTTGAGTACTTGATCACTAGAAAGATATGAGAGGGAAAGATTGTAATTTGAATGGAAACACAAAAAGAAACTGGAAAGCCAGGAGTGTTCATTGGTACTATCACTTCTCATGAACACTTTGTTTATCATTGGTACCCTTGCTGTCAAAACATGTGATAAGGTAGTGAGAGGTACCAATCTCCATCTTTCAATTGCTTAATATGTCAATGTTTGACTAGTATTCTTCAAAGGTATTCTTCAAACACCAATCAAATCAAAGTCAACATATTTAGAATGTGTTAGTTTAACCAATGTATGCGCTCAATATATAGCAATTTATAGAAATGTTCTTATAGGAACACTATGAGAAAAAGAAAGATATGTAACTTGAAGTGTAATCAGCCAATTTGAGTTATTGCATCATAACTCAATCCCAACGCAAGGCCACTTTGTGCCCATCTCATTTCAAGCAGTTCAAATCCGGGGAATTTGTGGTGGATTTGTGACACATCTTATAGTTAGTTTAACTATGCTCATCTTCACAACAAACAGCTCCACAAATGAATTTCAATAATCATTGCGCTCTATAAAGGCTCTAAGTGACTACACATGACCAATCACTATATTGAAGTTTGAAACACTTTATTACTTTTCACTGTCCAGAATTGATGGGTTTAATAGACAATTTCAAATATTATAACATTTCACCGTTCATGTCATACAAGTTTTCATAATGCAGGTCTTCTGCTTGCTCATAATCGTCAGGCTCCTCAGCTTGTATTATTGGCTTTCCGGCCAAAGCTTTCCACTCTTGATCAGCCCAAGCAGTCACCCTTCCAAATTCCTCTTTCAATGTCACATCCTGGTCAGTCTGACCTTCGATATATGTGGCAGTTTCTTGAATCTGCTGTGGAAGGTCTCGCCCCCATTCTTTCCATAGCTTGCAAGCCTGTCTCTTCACAATGTTATAGAGCGACTTCAACCTATTACGAACTACCCCAACCGCTGGTAGGAATTTGTTGTCAGTCAGGTGATACGTCGGTCATTTAGATTATCGCCAGCTCACCCTCGTTCACCTTACGTCCCAGGGCCACGACACGTGCCCAGTACATGTTTGACCAAGCGGTCATCTGCCGTGCTTCCCGACCAATACGCCGTAGCTCTTCTCCGGCGCTGCGTCGCGAAAGGAAGTTCTCAATCCCCAGACGAGTGATATCGGCTTCAACTCCTACTGCAGGTTCGACTTTGCCTCGACTCCAGAATGGATCATCCATTGTCATTGCCATGACATCTCCTAGTTCCGGCAAAGCGGGTTGCACAGCGTCTGGAAAATCTAGTGCATATTTCTCGACCTTTCTCAAGTACGTACTGTACTTGACACGTACATTCTTAGTCTTATCGCCCAGGTGCTTGGCCAGGTACTGTTGCAGCCGGGCGCCTAAAAACAACCCAACAGCGTAAACGGTAAGGCCTTTCGCGCCCTAATGATAACATGAAGTGAGTTCTTACCGCTCTGACGATGACGACGTAGCCTTGCTTCAACGAGGCCAACTTTGGCTTCGTACAGATACTCCCGGGCCAGTGAGAGGGTCAGCAGCGCATTGGTCTGATTCTCTGTTTGCCTTGTCGACAGGCAAGGTGAAAGCGAGTCAATCAACAACTATAAAATAAATACATAAAAATAACTCACGTGTTGCGCCGGCGAGGTCTGAAAACTCGGCACCGCCAAGTGCCGTTGCCATGGCTTCTATCTGCTCTTCAATGTTAGCCACTGTGTCAGGTAGCGACATAAGCTGGACATTGTCCGCTTGTGTTCGTGCTCTTCTACGCTTCACTTGGATCGCCTTGAGGCGATCACTGGTTTGACATAAAATAAAGATAAATATCCGTCCATTATAACAACATATTGCACACTCACCGAGCCTGAATTAGTTCCTCTTCTAAACCCAGCATAACCTTGAGGCGCTCCCTTTTTTCGTTCTGAGTCTCAGTCATCACATCCAGCTGGCGTGTTCTTTGCTCGTTCCACTTATTCTCAAAGAATGAATGGTTGTGAGCACGATTGACTGCCGCTATTTCATTCAGGACTTGCTCCGCTTCGGCCAGTCGTTTGATCGCCTCCTGCCTCTTTCGATTCATGTGTACCACTGGAAAGAGTGCATATGATGTCAACATTTGAAAAAACGGTCAATCATACCAATGTGTGTAACCCACCAGCTGAGTGCCGCAGGTGGGTACGGTGGTGAGATGCCCGCATATCAATCAAATCAACCCTGTGTTGTTTTGTCGAATACCTCTCAGCGCTAACGAGCGGATCCAAAGATGACCAGACCCTCTCTGAGCCTTCCCCATCCGAAAGGCCCCAGCCACGATTCAACCGGGGATTCCACTTCAGTTGACATGACCAACGATGCACATAGGCATGAAAAACACTGGTGCCAAATCGGATTCGCCCTGCTTGTCGCTCTGCTTCGAACACTCCGCGCTGGCCATGAGCGGTAAATGTCAGTCACTGCGATGTTAAATTGAATGTGAAACTTACCTTTTCAATTCCTGTTTCCATTGTACATCCTATATCATATAGGAAGCCAACCTTCTGTTCCTCGGTCAAGCCCAGAAACCATTCAATCAAGGCGTAGCTGTAGTGCAGCCTGTGGTTGAAATTGAAAACCAAAAAAACAGTCAGGCATGAAGGAATGCAGATTGTAGACAAAAAACTTACTTCTCGCCACTCTGGACAATATTTGCAAATTGCAATGGGTGGTCATGGCGGCACACCAAGACCATTAGACCGGTTTCGTCGCAACCACCCCAGTGTGTCTTGCCTCGTTGGTCATTTGCAGCCGTGTGTTGATTGGTACAAGCGTCCTAGCAGTCAACAGATAGATCAGGACGTCTGCTAACAATTTAATGGGATACAGGAGATCAACTTACGATAGCAATATCATCCTCAGCAATACCAGCAAGCCGTTGCTCCATGCGAGTGACTTGGGCATCCGGCAGAAAGGCGTTTGGCATGACGGTGGTGGTCCTAGCGGCTTTTTGGCCAGCCACAAGATGGCGCCAATGTTGAAAGTTGCCATCGAGGCACACAATCAAGTCGGGCTCGCCTTCTATAAGGCTTTGGACTGGAGGTCCAAAGCATCGAGGGCAATTTTCCGCCAGCTTTTCACGTGATGAGAGGGCAAGTTCGATATCCAAAGCCCTGTCGGTTGCCGTTAGCAGTTTTCGATAGGCGTCAATCACGAAACGGAAGGGGGTATGCCAACGACGAGGCTGACATCAAACCAAGCCAAACATATCATTAAACATATCATTAGTTCTTCCTTTTGTAATTAGAATGGTAAACAAAGCATAGACAAGCGGATTGACATACCTGCTCGTTTTTAGTCAGTATCAATGGATTGAAGGCGTCAAGGTATTCGTCCAGTCCTCGAGTCCAAGGTTCGACACGGCTGGTGCAAAATTTCCACGTCACATGGAAGAATCGTAGCAGCCGGATGGAGAAAGCGGTTTCGGGGTACATCGGAGAACCACCAATGTACCCCATGTATATGAGCCGAGTTTGATCGTTCTTTTGGCATCCGCAGAAACTAACCTTGGCCCTCTAACGATCTGATGGATTGTATAGGTCAGGTTAGTCAAAACTTCAAACGATAAATATTGACAATAGACAGCTTACATAGCAGATCGACAAGGTCAATTGCCCTAACTCGAAACCGTGAAGGCGGGCAATGACAGCGGGGCTTGAGGTCCAGATCCCACTTGGTTGGATCGCCCCACTCAGATGTCATAGAATGACATTCTATGTATGCATAGAACATCTCCTGCATCGCTCGAGCCAAAATCTTGGCCCTTTCCTCTCGTTCGTCTTCAAGCTTAAGCCGCTGGATGTCATCTATAAAATCTGGTATTAAGTCGTGTGCTTCAGGCTCAATATCCATATTAAATTGCGGTTCAACGTAGTTATCCGGAGGCACGATTGGTGTTCCTAACGGGACCGGAGCAGCCTTTAGCGCCGCTGCGGCTGCAGCCATACGAGCAAAATGTTTTCTTTGAGCTTCGGACTTGGGCGGCTTTGTCCAGTAAGGCTTTGCCGCGTTGAAGGCTTGGTTTACACCTTGGAAACGAGGCATGGTCAGAAAGGTGTGATGGGTTGAGAAGGGAATGTTCTGAAAAAATTGGGACCCAACTAATGAGCCAGCTGCAGTACAAACAGTTTAAAAAGAAACAGGGACGTACCTCCTTGGGTGCTAAGTTGAGAGAGTTGAAGGGATGAGAGATGATGAGATTGATGTGTCGAAAGTCGATGTGAGATCAAAGGTTTAGTTGTTGTGCTGATGTGCTAATGTGCTATTGTGCTAATTCCAGTCGAATTGCAAGAGGTCAGTCACCAGGTGAAATCGAGTGGTATTGAGCAGACAATGTTGAGTGATCACAAGGGCATGGGTAGTTGGTTGAAGTAGGCCACTGTCTCGAAGATGTCGGACGGTTGTAAGAAAGGAAGCTGCTGACAAGTGACTTGGACAGGTAGTTAATCCTTTTGAGGGAGAGGATGTGGTTGAGAGTTGATTGTGAGAGTATATTGTGGTGAGCTGATCGATTGTTGATTGACAAACCAATGAAGGGAAGAGGTATTTGTGCCGGTACGTTGTTTGAGAACAGTTTGGACTGTATTTGTAAAAGAGAGTACATACCTGTACCATGTGACAGCGCAGGTGTTGAGATTTCACCGGTCATGTTGATCTGTATATGTCACAGATCAGTATGGAGTATGTATTGTATCAAATGTATTGATACTCGATACAATACGATAAATTTAATAAGGAAGCCAAGTTTGGAAATTGCTACGTTGAACTGACAAAGGAATTTAAAAGTTAGAAGATTATGATGAATTGAAAAACCTCGTGAGGAGGACCAAGGTAGGATGAGCTGTGAACCTTTTGTTTGGAGAGATTTCAACATGTGTGTTTTTTCTTCCAGTGTGTATTATTCTATTTAAGGCTGTCAGGAAGCTTACACGGGTTAATCCAAAAATCGGCCACTGGGTGGTAATATGAGAGGCTCTTATACGACTCACATATGCAACATGATGAATTGCCATTCTATTCAGAATCAGAATTTACACAAAGTTCCACTCGGGCACGGCGGCCATACAACAACGGTTTTTCTACAGAAAGGATAGGTATTATGAAATCTTTGAACATACTGAACTGGGGTAGGTACTTGTGGAACCACTCCTGTGCCACTGGAAGTGCAAGCTTGTGCCACTCGCGCCAAGGCTCAGGAATTGGAGGTGGGGTGGTTATAGTAAGTGAAAGAAAATGAACACGTTTCTTATCGAAAAAAAGAAAGATAGGTGGATTGTTGGTAAGGGAGCAATCCAAAGGTAAAGCAGAAAAATTAGTGTCTTCACCGTAGACACAAAATGGTCTTTTGTAAGCTGTGGCAATGATATACAGCATTTGAGCAGAATCAAGCCAAAGTGATGGGGTGTCTAGCACCTCTTCTCTTTGAGTTTGAATGAAATTTATGTGGTCGGATACATTTCCATCGCCTCTCTTCCGTTGTTCAAAATGTCTGTTGTAGAACTCGGATTTTGATTGAAGTTCAAAGGTGACTTCTTTGCGAACCAATTTGATTATGAATAACATCGTTTCTGTTGTGTTCTTGTGATCTCATGACGTATTTGATGACCCCTTTTCTAGGAGCATCTTTTTCCAGATTCAGAAGAATATTCTTCCCATTCAGGAATAGGACATTAGATCAAGATCATTTCTTCTTGATTACGGCCAGTTTGGTTGGTCTTTCCTGGAATAATCTGGTGTATAGATTGAAAGGTAAGAACATCTGTCTTCAGTCCGGAACCTCTGATATTGAGGACAAGCCTTTGAAATATCTACAGGTCCCTAATTTGTGCCTTTGTGAAGTGATGGAATCTTCTTATCAAGTCTTCCGTGCAGAGCTACGTAAATCTGAGAACCGTTATTTACAAAAAGTTTGGCAAATGTCATGGGGAAGACAAAGGTGCTTAAAACTTGTCGTAATCCTGACTAGCAGGAGGAAGGTCCTACCTTAAGCACTTCAAAAAGAAAAGAAAGCCAGATTGTTGGCTATAAAAGTGAAGATGTAAAGACAAAAATTGTTCTATCCAAGCTTGCTCATAAATCATACCCAGCAAAAGCCTGAAATCATTAAATAGTCTTTTCCAGAATGGCTGATCTGGCAAATCTTTCTCATCGCGGTCTTGACATACCTGATGATCAGCTTCCTATCAAGCTTGGTCAAGTTGTTCTACCTCCAAACCTACATAAGTTTCTCCGCATCAAAGATGATGAAATTGTCCTTGTGACTCCTGCCGAATTCTTTCAAATCATTACTAGTTTTCACCCATCCACTGATATTACTGGGAATCTTTCCAACCCTCAAGCCTTATTTAAAATGTTCGAATTCCTTGTTCTTCCTTGGATTCTTGCCTATGAATCAATGGACTATGAGACAAACACCATGAAGTTCTCTACGGACTGATAAATGTCAGTCTTCTCTTGACTTCTTCTTTATTTGACTGGAGCTAACATTTTCCCCCTCCAGGTCGAAAAGACCTCTCTAAAATTGAATATGAGATCATGTAAAGTAAGATTTTCCTTCAATTTGCGGATTATATCTCGAAGCATGTCACATACAATTATCTGACACTCTAACCTCAATCCATAAATTAAGGTATCCTCCGGTAGATTGATATGAATGGAGGGTTGCTTTATTGTTATACTCAATCCGCTTCATGCCTTCTCTCACAAATTGTTTTCATCATTCAGGGTAGAACTAAGTGTGGAGATGGCAAAATCACGAAAGGGCTTATCAAATACAAGATCTCATTTCCACTTCTATGCTGCCCCACCTCTGACTTTAAAAAGATGGGAAATAAATATTCTCTCCATACCAAATGCCTCATCATATGACATAGATCGGACTTTATCAAAGTCTGAAGTTCGATATGTTGCTACACTCAAAGGTGAGAAACGTGGGGATCAAGTATGATGTTTGGGTCCTTTCAAGAAGTTGTATGTGTTCAAGCAGAAGATGTCAGAACAAGGGAAAATGAGAGTGACTCAGTAAAAGTTGCCTGCCCTCCACTTGACTTATTTCCTTTTACTCCGTTAATAAATATCCTATCCCTCACTTCACAGTAAGAACTTGTTTTACAAATATCCGTCTCTTACAAACTCTTCATTTCCGTTTCATTTCCATTAGCGCTTAAAACATCCAAATATATCATCATAACGGGCTGATTTCAATTAATTTCCAATTAATATCTCCATCATGTCGCTTGTCAAACATGTTGTGGGTGAATCTCCAGACCACTTGGATTTGATCTATCTACTGCATCCAAGTGACTTCCTCCCCGGTGATGATCGGATGCATCCCAGAGGAACATTGACCGTTGCCGAAGATCCAAAGGGTACACGGGCTCAAAATTTTCAATCTTGTGTTGTGGCCTGTTTGGATCATGGTTTCTTTCAACGTGCATTGAGTGGAATAGTTAGTCATATTCAAGAATACAATGTCTTAAACACTAGCGAACTTTACAAGCTCGAGCTCTACAAAGACGTCCTTGTCGCTGACGCGTTGCGAGCTGCCAAGCACATCGTGGAGGATCATTTTGCCACGGACTTCTTTACTTCAATTGGATCATGTTACGACATTGCCCCCATCAACGCGATGTTCTTCCCAAAACTTGCTGGGGAGGCAAAATTAACTCTTGCTCTGGACCAAGCCAACTTCAATACCGCCACCCAGAAAGCAGGCAGTCTAGCGGCAGTTATCAAGCAAGAAGCGTCAGAACTATTTTGCTTTGTGGTATTGTAACAAACATGGCTGCTGATACAATGGATTTCCCTTTCCAGTGAAAGAGCATGTCATCACGAGGAATTCAAAGGAGAGATAACCATGGGGCCTTCATACATAGCCAGTAGTTTTGTTACTCAATTTATGATCCGGGCTGGTGCTCTGCTTTGTCGACATCAAGACTCTTTCACTTTATCCGAAACTGGGCAGCTTATTTTGGATCCTAATCCTCCAAATTACGAGTCAACTGTAAACAATGAGTACGTCAGATTTCTTAGACCTTGATTCTCAGTCAAAACTCCACACTCTGAACATATTTTTTCCATCTATCCGTTTTTATTCTGTGATTTCAAGAAACTGAAGCGCACAGGTCAGGTGTTACTATAAAAAGGTCATTTTCTGGAATTTGGATTGAACTCAGGCGGATTTTGAGATACATACTTTTGATAATCATTTCCCTTCTTTTTTTCTCTTTTAACATTCTCCCCATTCTTGTAAAGATTGGAATGGCTAAGTTCACAGACATCAACCAAACTCCTCAATCTCAGAGTTATTCTACCATGATTTTCTACCAGGAGCGTGCCACTTCCCCCATTTTAAAGAAAGCGCTTGTAACTTTCAGATTTGCAGTAAACTACAAGGATCTGGTAATTGTACTGAAGGTTGTACAAACTCTCATAAGTTGCAATATGTAACGATTCTAAAATTGTAGAATTCCTGTATCTCATCACCAAGCTTACGATAGTCATTATGATAGTTGACAAAAAAATTAGGTCTTTGCATTTAAAACAAGATTCATGAGCTGTGTAAACAAATAAAGGAAATTTGTGATCGATACAAGAACAAATCAGGTCTGTTTGTAGTTTCCTATTACAAATCACGATTTAAGGATTGAGATAAGAATTCAGAGACTCTTGCCTTTGTTTCCTGTGAAAGCCTTGCTCTTCTCATCACGGAGAGACTTCACTTTCCAATGGGTAGTAGGTTTTCCATCTGTTATCTTTTTCATCCTACCCGTGGTCTCCTGCTCATATGACTTGACCTTATCGTTGACAAAATTCAACCATTCCTGAGGTTCCATTTTCTTCTTCTCTCGTTCCAACATCGCAATCCTTCCAACCACAGACTCAGAAATTTGGCAGGAAGAGCCAAATCGGGTAAGTTCCCCATCCACGTGTCTAATTTTCTCCCCTTCTGCATTGAATGCTGTTGAAGCTGTTGATTGATGTTTCACCTGAGTAATACATAACAAGATTATCAGCTGGGTGGATTCAGTCAAGTCATGAAAAACTTCCAACACTTACTCTAGTATCCCAGACCATCTCCACAACCCCATCACATCCAGCAAAGTCTACCTCGATCCCAAACTCCTTCAAAACAAAGCAAGCCCCTAATACGTTTCCCCTTGGCTTTGATCCGGCAAGTTCGTAGGGCTCTCCCGTTTCCCGATCAATTAGCGAAAACATGCCATAAGAGTATCTGGTATGGTCGTAGTCATCCGTATGATCACAGTTCCTGAATCCGTCGCAGGTAACCACAAGGTTCGAAGCAAGTACTTTGCCGTTTGGGGTTGTTTGCCACTGCTCTTCATGGAACCCAGGGATATTTGATTCCTTCGCTAGCTTGATGTTTGATTCGAAGACAGCAAAACATAATGTAGAAAACTTCTCTGCCCAAAAATCTCGAATCTTATGAAATCGAGTCATACGTTCAACATCTTCCTCAATCTTGTCACCATCTTTTGCTGTAAAGTCGTTGAGAGAGTAAGTACCTTTTGAATTCAAGGAGCAGGTATGTTAGTAATTTGAAGCTTGTGAATGTTAGAAAGATTGGAAATACTTACCCACACTTTTTCCTGGATCAGATCCTCCTCTCCAACCACAACACCCCATCCAACCCCAGATGATACAGGCCAAAATGAATGTCTGGATCGAACTGTGAAGAAGACAGGTGTTTCTTGCTCGAGCGTGTAAATAAGGAGTAGATATAGAATTACAATAGCCTCCTTTTTCTTCTGCTGTCATCTTTTTGAACTCATTACATCTAACCACTAGGACTAGTGAAGTGTCTTTCTTATTTACCACAACTGTAGTTCCAAAATTAATTTTTATGTACTCCTCAACTTTGTAAGCTCCATCTTCCCGATCCTTTGAGCTATGTCGGAAGAGGAATTTACTATCTGGCGGAACTCCAAAGGCTGCTCCTAGAGAAGCTTTAAACTTTGTCCTTGCAGTATGACGTCGTGGTAAGATTCGACCGATATCGTATTCTTCATCTCTTAGCTGACGAGCTTTGATGGTGGAGGGACAGGTCTTTGATTTGAAATTTGGGATAGGGATCCCTTTTGCTTTTTTCCGGTTACGATCTTGAGAACGGGTCATCTCGAACAGAACAAGGGGTAAATACCGATTGAAGTAATTGAACTTGAAGATTTTATTGATCGAGGTCCAGTAAGAGGTAAACAGGTAATTAAGTTGATTATAATTCCTTAGTTACTTTTGAGAAGAAGGCAGGAGATCGAAAAGGGAGTTGAATAAGCACTGAAAATTAGTATATAGAAGTCGGATAATATGGTGAGAATTGGAAAGGTGAGAATAGCTAATCTAGAGTCCAATTAATTGAATCTGGAAGTAGAGCTTGAAGTTACTAGGTTTTTGGTGAGAGTTGCAGTGTGACAAATGTGAATCAAAAAGAAAAACCAGAAGATATTTAAGGGGAAGAAGTCAGTTGTAAGGATTCAAAGGTTTAGAAAAACCAAAGACGATGAAGCTGAGAGGGAATTCTCTGTGGTTTGCCAACAATCAAAATGGTCTGAATCCTTAAGATACGCATCAGGAGAGATCAAAATTGGGGGGAAGTTGGAAGTTAGTAAAGCAGATACAGAAAAAGAATACGAGTACTAACATACCTGTAAAATTTGGATTTCTAAAAGTCAAACTAGGATGAGCGTACTTTGATTGAAGAATGTAGCTTAGGAGCCTGAATTGTTTATATAAGCCAAGCTATTTGTAAAGCCAAGATAACATGTTAGTTAACTCAAATAAAGTAGGAAGAGGCAAGACTAACTTTTCTAGTAGAACCTGTGTTCGGAAAAGGAATCAAACTCCTACAATCCACGAAGAAAATGACCTCTAAGCCATTAGGATATAGATAACAAGACAGGCAAAGTGGATTCAACAAGAAATCAGTAAGATAACTACAGAGAAAAAACCAGTACTTATGGATTAGGCTTACAATTCAGGAAAATGAAGATCAAGAGTTATTAAACTGAGAAGAATGTGCGTTGATTCAAGGATGTAGCTTAGCAACTTGGATCTTGTATACAAGTCAAACTGCCATCGAAACCAAGATGGCATGTTAGTGAACTAATATTTGACTAAGACGCCTTTGGAAGATGTAAAACTCACCTTAGTAGATTAGCCCGATTCGAGATAATCAAACTCGATTAATTACAATTCGAGGTCTTTTGTAGCTGGGGGCTACAAAGCTGAGTATGTTGTTAAGGCAAATAGAGAGATAGTTTAGAATCCAGGGAAGTTTCGATTTGATTTCTAGAGGATGAGAGAAATGGCTTGCTGACCAATGGGATTTCTGACTCGATATGTGTCTACTAGGCAAAGATTGAATCAATGTTTGAGCCTATAGGATAAAGAAGCCTATAGAAAGCAGGAACCATATCAATACCAGATGGAAATGTGTTTAGAAGTCTGAAGAAAGGGAATACGTAGAAACATACCTTGTGGTGAGCACTAAGATTAAAGAATCTCAAAATTATTTAGTCGATTCACCAATTATGGCTTGGGAGGTTGATTTTCAAGGATCAGAGTCGGGGTTTTCTTCTGCTGAAAAGATATGAAAAGTAATTGAGGAAGAGCCTATTGGGGTAGAAATAGGAGATTAGATCGATTGGTGATTGTAAAGCGCTCAAAAGAGTAAGGCTCTTGAAAACATACCTTGAAGTTTGATGTAATTCGATTATCTTGATTCACAAATGGGGGATTGATGGTTCGTTAAAGATTGAAGATTGTCCCGATGGTTATCTTCCACTATAAAGATCTTGTACGTAGAAGACCCTATTGAAAGTAGGAAAGATAGATTGTATCGATTGGCAAATTTAGAAGACTGAAAAGGGTGAGGCTCTCTAAACACATACGTTGAAGTTCGATGTAGTTCGATTGGGTTGATTAAAAAATGACGGATTGGGTTTTTCAAAGATGAGTGATCGATTCCTTTTACTGCAAAGATATTGAGAGTAGTTGAAGATGGCCCTGCTCAAAGTAGAAAGGGTGGTTAGATTGATTGATGATTTCAAAAGGGTGAAAAGAGCGAGAATGTTTAAAAACGTACCTTGGAGTTCGATGTGGTTGGATTGGAAGGCTGTGGCTTAGATGTGGGGTGTCCTGCCCAAACAAAGAACCTTTTCCAAAAAGCCCCGTATTCCCCCAGGATCGTAGCGCAGAGGCCCACGTCACTGAAGGAAAGCAGGTGCTAAGAGGATGAGATATCGAAGTTAGGTGGGGGTAGCTTGGAGTGATGGTGTTTGAACGCCGGGAAAGTATTAAAAAACGAAGAGCCTATTGTATTCAGTAGAAAGTAGAAAGTAGGAAAATAGATTAGGTCGATTGATTATTATAAGACATGGAAGAGTGTAACGATATTTCAAAACATACGTGTGGGGAAGGTTAATGTAGTTTGTTTGGAGAGTGTTTTCCCCAGTCTTAGATGTGGGCTATACTACCCAAACAAAGATCTATCTAAAAAGCCCCGTATTCCCCCTGGATCGTAGCGCAGAGGCCCACGTCACTCAAGGAAAGCAGGTGCTAAGAGGATGAGGTCTTGAATGGAATAGCTTATAATCTATGATATCGTTGAGAGTGAAATTGAGATCGATGAAAGGTTTGAGAGCAAAAATTTGGAAAATGAAGGGGGAGTAGATATTTTTCAGTGGATAGAGGAAAAGAGGGAGATTGAAGGTGAAGAGAATGATAAACTGAAAATGAGAGGAAGTCGAAAAAAGTCTTTCGCTCTGAGAAAATAGAAGTAAATTAAACCCTAACCTTCAATCCTACCTCAGGTATGTAATAGGGGGAAGGGAGACTTAAGGATCTAACTAGAACAAAAACTCTGTATTTAATTGGGAATCAGTTCATGTTCATGAACTGGCAAACCTAGAGTAGACCTATCGAATTCGATTTGAATATTCACCTCTGATTTTGGCTGATCAACCAATATCGTGGGGAACTAACAGGTTATTTCATCTTGCTTTATGATTCTGATTTTTTTTTTAATTTCCTATATTAAAGAAATTTCTGTTATCACTAAGAATCTCACAGTAGAGATTTAGAGATTGGATCGAAGCGATTGAAATTTGATTCCCCTTAACAGGAAAGATTCTTTCAAATCCAATTCAATTTATAAACTAGGATTAATAAATCAAATAATCAAATAATAGATGAAATAGAAGAATCGAAGTCAGCGTTATGTAAATGGAAAAAGAAATGAGAAAAAGAAAAGAAAACCTACAATGTGAGATTTGAACTCAAATCAGAATCGATCATTTTAAAACGGGATGAAAAGGATTGAAATCAAATAAGGGTACAATGATCGAATCAAATAGATCAATTAAATGATTCAAAAGAGACAGAGAAAAGAGAGAAAACTTATACATTTAAAAAATTGAATTGGAATTGATAGATCGAGCCGAGCGATTTAGATCCAAGGAATGACAATGTTAAAGTAAATCAAATCGATTTAATAGTCAAAGACTGGTAAACGGTTTATCTTAGGTTATAATGTCTATTCATGTCTTTGTTTACACATGTACCCTTATCAGTCGCTTTGTCTTTCAAACTTATCATCATCAAATGTCTTGGTTATTCAAAACATTCACATGATTCCTCCTGTGATTGTTTTCTGTTGTAAGAGTTGAAGAAGAAAATTTTCAACTGAATAACACAGGTTTTGCATTGCTTCATCCAAGTGATTTCTAAACAAGTTTTTAGTACTAAATCGCCCCAATGATCCACATCTTTACTTTCTTATAGAGTAAAGAAAAAAACAAAAATGAGATAATCACCATCCAAAATAGAACCAAATCACTAACAATCATTGGGCTTGGTTGGAGAAAAGATACCAAACAATGTATGAAGAAAAATCTTTGTATATTAGAGCTGGTTGTTGAGTTCAAAAGTGAGTTACTCATTTTGACTGAGTAATCAATTGTACAGAGATCTTTTCTGGTGAACTCCACACACTACACAAAATGTAATCTTTACCTGGCGGTAAAGAAAACTACTGACATAGAAAAGTCCTGAGGCAACAGGAAGAGAGCTAAAAATCTGAAAAAATATGCACCTTGTTCCTAGATGTTGGAGCGTCATGATGAGTATTTTTTTGTATTTTACACACGGACATTGGTTAATGTACTAACAATAAAGGCTGAGAATCATCAAAAACCCACCTGTAACAATACCTGAAATTTGGCCCTTGATTTTGAAGACAGGATTTTGAAATCTTCAAACATCAATAACTTTTGCAGTTCTGAATCAAATCACTCGATTTGAAGTGCATTAAAAAGGTGAGCCTTTCCTCTACATTTTTCATTCAGACATCACATCTGTAGCTGGTCTCAAAAAGATCCTACAGAGATATTCATGCAGAACTGTTTGAACATATGTAGAGTGTTTAAATGACTAGATAGCACCTTACTAACATTATGAAGTGTGAAGGAGAATAGTTCAGCTTTTGAATGAACCAAAAATCGAGTTACTTGGAGCAGAATTGCAAAAGTTATTGAAGTTTTCAGACCACAAAATATTGTCTTCATACTCATGACCCAAATTTCAGGTATTGTTACATGTGAGTTTTTGATGATTTTCAGCGTTTATTGTTAGTACATAAACCAATATCTGTGTGTAAAATACAAAAAAATACTCATCATGACGCCCCAACATCTAGGAACAAGGTGCATATTTTTTCAGATTTTTAGCTCTCTTCCTGTTGCCTCAGGACTTTTCTATGTCAGTAGTTTTCTTTACCGCCCGGTAAAGATTACATTTGGTGTAGTGACAAGTGACAAGCAATGATAATCCAAGTTGTTTCCTGAGTTCTGGTGAAATAGTGGATCTTGAGATATCAAGTCCAGTAACTTAGTTGAGCCTGTTTTAGATCTCATCAAAGTATAAAGGAGGATATCTTTTAAGACCATAATCAAGCGTGAACCCATGTAAGATAGTGTTGAGACTTTCTTGCCACAATAGAAATAATACCTACATGGATTCATCTGAATCTTGATCATCCACTTCAAATTATTGAAGCAGTTTTGGTTGATGAAGTTCCCCTGAAGGGTTCAATTGGATTGTAGTTTTTAATAATGTGAGGCTGGGATCATCTAGGATCAGTTCATGTTCATGAACTGGCTACTAGATCAGATAACTCAATCAACCACTTCAAACCACATGATATCATCAAATATGCAAGCCTTTCTTTTGGATCTTATGCCCAACATGATACTGGTTTCAAACAGTGTATGTGAACTTTCAACCAGGATTTATGAAATATGAACTACATCATGATGAGTTTGACAGTGGAGGCATAGATGGAATGACCAATTTACCATTCTGATAGCAAAGTGGTCATATTATATTTCATTATTCTTGGTTCTATGTCTTGTAGGATGTACATTTGGATTCTCACTATTGCATACGTGAGAGGAAGATGATAGATTGTATTGTATATCCTTGATTTACAGGCTGTATTTTGTGGAAGGGAAAATACACCCTACATACAAGGCCTTGGGGCATTACGTGAAGAAATTGAGAGGTACAGAGAGGCAGATGCTTGGAGGTGAGAAGAAAAATAACTAGGACATTTGGCCAAACCGGGGATCTGATTCAAACTGAAGATCTTCACCTCTGGTTCTCGCCTTGTTGTGAAATGATGTGTCCGAAAATTACCTTTGTTCTGTTAGGCAATTGGGTAATTTGTGACGATAGTTTGGGGGAGGTACATACCTTTCCCCAAACTCACGGGGAGAGTGTCCCCTAACTTTTTGGCCCTTCATAAACTAGAGCATTTAATTGACAACTGGGATCTTCTGTTATTCCACAAGGTTGAACCCCAGCTTTGTCAGTTATCAGGCCGCGGGCCGCGGGCCGCGGCCACTTTCACTGGAAGACTTTGGATTTTACGTTCCAAGTTAGGAACATATGAGAGAGTTACTTGAAGACAATATCCGAGCCGGTATCCTCCCCCCCTTCAAGATTTCCCAAAGCTTCCCATTCCCCCTGTGGGAACTTTTCCAAATGATGAGATAGCCTTTGTTACCACAAGACAACTACTCGAGTTAATCACAAGGGGAAAAGGAAGCACCCTAAACTGGCTCCCACCAATTGGCATGAATAAGTTGAGAGAAGGAACACGGAGATCATAGATGTGACCCACACTTAAACCAAATTTTTGAGGAAGTAATTTCCCCCTTCCATCTCCAGTACATAGACGTGGTGAAGTGGTTGTATCTTTCAGTATAAAAGTCCTTGCTTCTTTTGAGAGACTATCTGCTTTCAATCAGTCACTCTCAACACTTCATTTACTTCTAAGACTAGTGTCCTCAACATAGTAGATAAATTTCCATACAATAGTACTATCCAACTATAATGTCTGGAACTTCACAACCATTCTATGGCCTTACAGATGCCTTCCGATTCACCATCCCACCGCACCTTCATAAGTTCATTAGCCCCCGCGGGTACAATTATCATCTTGCTTCAGACAAAGAGTTGGAAGAAATATATAAGATATTCTTCCCCAGAACAGTCATCAAGAACCCCAATATACACCTGCCCAGAGAAGCTTCCATCAGACGTTTCAAGGACTTTGTCCTCCCATGCATCCTTGCCTGTTCAATCTGGGTTCCTCAAAAAGATCTTCTTATGTATTTCAAGGACATAGAATTCTCGTCTACCAGTAAGTTTCCCTCATACCTTCTCATCCTCTCATATTCTACTTTTCCTAATAGAATAATCTCCACCAATGATTTCTCAGATCCCCCGTTTTTGGCCGATGCAGCTTTGAAACCGCGGCAACAATGAAAGACCAGTGTATGTGGAAGGCATGATTCCCAGGTCTTCCAGTAAGTATTCAATAAACTTTATTTATCATCTCATATCACCCTTTTACTAACAGACGTACCACAGGCGATGAACCCTCAGATGGACTTCTCCATTTTGACAAAGACTCAAGACCCCACGGCATCAAATACACAGATGATTTCCTTCTCCTTCTAATGTTATAATCATGGTAATCTTCAAATACGTGTTCAAATGATATCCGATCCAAATCAGCTTGTAGATGTTTTTACCCTTTGATTGTAGTGGAGTAAATTATGATTCGACAAGCTAATGATCAGTCAATGTTGAATTAATTAGCTTACGTATTCAAATCTGTCCCATGAGTGTTTATATCCTGAGAGAGGGGCAATCCTTTGAGCTTGACCTGATGATCACATGTTTCATCTGCCATGATTTTTGACTAACTGAGATCCTTGTAACGGTATCATCAGGAAACTTCCATAAAGGGCTTTTCATTTGTGAATTTTGGCCCACACCGCTCGGCCATTCAATCTTCAGTCTTCGAAATATTGAAAATCTTCTATAAACAACTCAATCCTGCTCCAGATAGAGCTCCCATAGAATCATCTCATCACACTTTTTCCACCAATCTCACCAATCTTTTGAATAATCTTTTCAGAATATTCCCATTTTTAATCCCCTGTTAGCTTCTACTCCCTCAAATTTCAGAGCAGTGTTTCGCAAAGATGAAAAGACCCGCATCTCCTTTGGAAAAAACAGGTCAGTTCTGCTGTGCTCCAAGTCTGTCAATCACTTCTGATACTTTGATTGAATTGACCAATTTAGTTGAGGCTTTGAGAGAGAAACTTGCCAATGCTGGTCTCAACTCTGTATCGCAAGAAAGTAAGTTGAGCTGTGAAATTTCTCCTTCCATTTCACAACTAACCTTGCGATGAAATCCCTCATACAGTTGAAATGTTGAAAGACAAAGTTGCTGGTATAAAAACTACGCTACGGGCTTTGGAGGACACAATTCAACGAGGTGTGGAGGAGATGGATAGTAAAGCTGGTGAGTCTTGGGTCATGTTTTACCTTTTCAGAATTGACTCTTTTCAGACTGCTTACGTTTGAATTTCAGCCCAGGATGTTAAGCTCCTGTACCCCGTTATGGTAGATCATACAAAAGAAATTACTTTAGTCAAGCTCAAGCTCGACAGTCTACAAGCTCAAGTTGAAGATATACAAGATGAGGCCACCCGTGAATACCAACATACCCGAGCACTTGAGATTGTTGTCCAGAAGCTCATAGATGCCTCTCCAGCTCACAGCCATATTGATGTCAGATTTGAGATAGAAAATTTCAGCGATGAGCGTTATCATTATCATCAAGTACATCTCCAAGACCCTATAAGTGTAGAGGCTCCTGTATCAGATCCCACCCTTGGATCCTAAGCTATGGTGTTGGAGTTCTACAAAGTATTTATCTGACTCTGTATCACAATACGCAGTGGATTTCACTTAATCAAAGTTCAGTTGATCATGTAATTATATCTTTTGGAAGTTATGATCTTGAAATCTATCTTATCTCATCATCTTATGTCCTTGTGACGAGAAAAGATGTTTGTATTTTACAATGGATAATTGAGGGCAATGGTCACTGTGTATAGAGTCTTTTGCTCTGGTATCTTGATCAAGAAGCAAGGTCGCCAGATGTGGAGCCAAAGGGACCCTACTCATTTCCCCCTTATTGTCTAACGGCATCAATTCATTCCTGACCTGTTTTCTTTTTTACATCCTCTCACATGATCTTCACTTTCGTCTGATATCAGCAGAGCATCCTGGCTTGGCCTCATACGATAGAATTACCATTTCCGTGCTAATAATGCTTCCAGGAAAATCATTGTAATTCTTGGTCATCTCGGCACAGAATAATCAAACCAATAAATTTGGATTATCGGTCTTCTGGTAAACAAAACATATATCTAAAACTGGATTCCAGTATAATCTACAGGAATTGAGAAAAACAATTTAAAATGATTCTGAGAATCTAACAACTTGATCCTTTCCTACAAAGGCACTGGACTTAGGAAAAACTAAACTCCCCCCTTCCGCAAGTTCCCCAGCCTCTGTAAACCAATGAGAGAGATAATCGAAACATAAATTTTTTGCTACATCGTACCACGTGATTTCAGGTTTCACAAAACGACCCTGCTGATCAAAAAGGCCATCAATTAACTTCATCAACATTTGATTACTACGTTTGAAGATTGGTTCTTTGACTTGGAAATCCGGTCTTTGTTTTACAAGCCAGTCTGAAAGGATTGTAAAGCCAAGCATTTGCGCAGCAGGGTTGGAATTGACATCATTCGAGCAGCATATCAAGCCCCGGATTCCACAACATGCGAACATTGTAAGGTGATTCAGAGTTGGAGATTTAATGGACTCTCCCTTCCATTCTTTTTTAAACCTGATTGCAAGGGCTTTATCCTCGGCACTTGCTTCTTCATTTAAAATATATTTCGCTTCAAAATATTGAACCACGTATGAATCAAGAACTTTGATGAAAATGTCCTCCCATTGTTGTATCAGGCCGATATCGATTACAGAGTTGAGCTTGGTTGAGTCAAGAAGACGAATTGTTCTAGAATTCTCTGGCTTTGAATTTCGTTGTGAATTTAACCATTTGATTGCTTGACAAACGGCTTCGATGCCAGTCTTCGCTTTTTCGCTTTCTGATACTGGAGGCTCTTTGAGAAAAGTCTTTCCTGTTAGTAAGACCGAGTCAAGTAAAACCTTGAGGAATGAAGAAACTCGACTCGGAGAGGGACGGATACACATGCGCATTGTCCTCCATGTATGATTCCAAACCGCTGGTACGCCTGGAGGAATTTTATCTGATACATTTTGATTTTTCAAAGCCAAAGTATTGAACAAGTCGGCTGCATAAGCAGGCTCCCCCTTGTGACAGTTGAATAGGTCAGGCACTACATTGGCTCAAGTCAGTATCTATGATTTTTCGGATCTAAAAGCAAAAGTTGTGTGTTTTAGAACTAACTTGTCTCCTCAATCGCATTGTACCAAGTTTGTCCATTGTACTTTGTCTTTACCATCACGTTATTGATACCTCCTTCAATAGAATCCAAAAAGACCTGGTTTAAGGGTTCCCCCTCCCGTCGTAGCTTTAATAAATTTGTCAACGCATTCCAAGCGGCCAGCTTTGCCGCCTTGCTAGTTTGATTTCCATTATAGGGGGCAAGCAGTTTTGTCAGCTCTTTCTCCATCAAGGATGGTCCTAGAAAAAACTTGACTGAAGAATCGCCATTGGTCAGCACATGTTTTTTTCAACAATGCAAGTTAGATATGATCTCACCATGACCCAGGAGTCCATCGTCCGTTGCCTCGTTTCGTCCCTTGGTGGCTATATTGTGATTCGATGTGGGTTCTACATCCTTTCCTTTAGTCTTTTTTTCGTTTCGCTGATAAGTAATTGGTGGAGGGGTACGTCGCTTAGTAGTTTCCTGGCATCTTGGGATCACAACAGCTTGGAAGGTCTTTCTTCTGGGCCTCAAGTCCCTTGAGCTCTTTCCTTTACCTTCAGACTCAACAGGATTGACAGGTTCCTGCGATGTCTTGGTTGGGTTCCCAGTCTCAGATGGCACGATCGATCGCTGAGGAGATGGAGCAGGAGAACTGAGAATTGAAGTTAACTCAAGCTGAGTCTCAGACGAAGAAGATCGAGAATGAATGGTAGTAGGCTTATCCATTGGTTCCTGAGCCTCCGAAGGTTGACTATGAATAGCATTCGAGTTATTGTTTGATTGCTGAGTTTGACCAGATTGAGGAGGGGATTTTGATTCTTCTGTAGATGGCCGAGACTCGATGGACAAAAGTGGAATAGCAGTCAAACTCTCAACCTGTTGCTCTAAATTAGTTGATTGAGTTTGATGTGAATCTACTTCAAGCTGAAGAGGTTCAGTTGAATTTTTGTTGGATTCCTGAGCTCGATCGGATTGACCAGAAAGGAGGTTTGTGTCCATTGCTGGTTGAGACTTGGTGGAAATGGGGGCAGTAGCGGTTAAGTCCTTGGTTTGAAATTGTGTAGCAATACTGATTGATTCGGTTCCATCTCCTTTATCTCCAAGATTGGGTAATTGAGATGGAGGATTGGTAGCTGATTTGACACCATCAACACTATTCGTAAGTCCAGGCGAAACAGTCTGATCGGGAGGGGGAATGTCGCCTGCGGTCACTGCTAATTTGAGGGGTTCTTCTTGATCGGGATCCTGATAATTGAAGATTTCGCTTGGAAATCCGTATTTCGTGGCAAGGTCCTCGGTTTCATCGTCAAGTAAAACAATGACTTTGTCTTCTGGCGGCAACGGTTTCCTTTGTATGATTGCTTTTGCAAAGAGAAACGAATCAGTATTGGGACACATTAAAAAAGAGTGGAAACTTCTTACCATTCCCGGTCCTCTTACATCTCAAAGTTAGGTTAAGTAACTCTTTAGCCATGGGGTCGGTCAAACAATCGGAGAGTCTTGCCTCTTCTAAGGCGGCGATGAGCTTTGAGTACACAGGAAGTGCGCTGGAGGCGAACAGGGGCTTGTTTTCTGGCTCCAAGTCGTACATTTGAATCAAAGTATCCAGTTCTTCATTGCACATTTCTGGATGACTCGTTTGGTTACTGTTTGCAGGAGAGAGGTGTTGCTTGTGATTTGACTGAGACTTAGGCGCAACATCTAATCCTTGAGCATTATTCCAATCAAACGAGAGGTTGATATCTGAGGTAGGTATATTAGGGAGATTTGAGTCATCAAGGATAGTATCTTGAGATCTTTCGGGCCGTAAATTTGATAGATGGTCCATTGAACTTGCAGAATTCATCGATTCTGCCTTGTTTGATGAGGCTCCAGTTTCCTGATTCGTATCTAAGGGTGTTCTACTAGTTTCTAGTTTTGATCGCAAATTTCTTGATTCTTTGGATATCGTAGGAGAAAGCGATCGCTTGGAAGGAAGAAGAGATACAGGGGATTCGATTGGAGCTGAAGCCATGTTGCATTCGTGGAACTCGCAGGCTTTGGATATAGGAGTCAGGTCTATTGGATTTGAAACATCTGTTGTAGCAGAAGTAGTCGAGCCAGTGGATTGATTGATTGAAGCTGGAAATGATTGTTCAAAGGATCCGGTTGAGGAAATCTCTAATTTGTTGGCGTTGATCTTGTTGGCTGCATCCACATCGATTTGTGTCATATTGATTTTGTCCAAATCTGCATTAGTTTTCGTGGCTGTCTGTTTCAAGGACGAGGGTCTGTCTTCACATTCATGTTCGTCTTCTGAGGTTGAGTGATAGGAAGTCATGAATGAAAGAGATTCCTGGGCCTTGGAAATCTCAAGGGACAACTTTTCGGAAATAAACCCAGCATCTTCTTGGTTTTGTTCGGTACTAGCCAACAATTCAGAGTTATCGACATGGTCTCGATTCACGTAGGAGTCGACCATTACAGCAGCAGATTTCGGATTTGCATTCGTGGGACTACCATCATCGATTTCAGAAGTCGGTATGGAGAGATTCGATTCCGGATTCATCCTAACGCAGCTTAGAAGAGCTGCAGTTCACAAATTGAAATACGTAATGGTTTTTACTACATGACGCAGATGGTTGATGGTTAGTTCAGATGAGACGTTTCGGCGTAGATAACCAAACCGAAATTGTATACTTACTGGATCTAATTTGAGTCTTTTGAATGAATACCGTGTATAAATCGAGATCGGTTGAAGACACAGCAAGCTTAATGAGGGAACTCCAGTAATCGAAGGTGAAAATGCCAAGCTACATAGGACATCCGATTTCTTTGGTTGCTATCAAAGAGTTTGATCTATGGTACATGTCACGGCCTGTTACAGTCATATGCATAGCTGTCACAAATCAGCTTACACTGTGTATGCATTCCATTAATGTATGTATAAATCCAGTTCATGCTCGCATCCAGAATCATGAACTGATAAATCTCCATCAACAAAGCCAGTAGGAAGAAAATGATTCACGTCTTGCAGCTAGAAGCCTTTCCGATGCACCTCACCTCAGCCCTACAACTCCAAAGCAATCATTGACGTTTTGGTTTTCAAGGCTGATGTGAAGATAGTTTACACTACAAGAAAGATAATATTTTCTGGGCAGAAAATTCAATTATTGATACACAAAAATATTGAGAGGCCAGGAGAAGGGCAAAAAATAAATAAAAATATGCATCTTGTTCCCTGCGGTGAGAGCTTCACTCTCCATATTTTTCCATATTTTTACAGTCTGTATTGATAAGTGTACTAACAATAAACCTTCACAATCATCCAATTACAACCAACGCAGCCACAGATACGTTACTGGTATTGGTATCGTACCGTACCGTATCCGGCTCACGTGGTACCGTAGCCGGTAGTACCGTATCTGGGTGTCAACTACGTTACTCAAGGGCCCAGAAGGCCTTATTTTCGGCCGGATACGATACCGGGTATCGTACCGGCCCTTGGCGGTATGGTACTGGATACCCACTGTGGGCAGTATTGACACACCAGATACGGTATAGTACCGTACCTGTTCTGTCACCCACGAGTATGGATACAGTACCGTACCGTGGCCCCGTTTTGGATACAGTATCTCCTTGGATATATAGATCCAAGGAGTCCTCCTATACCTTCCAAGCAGTGTGTCACGGTTCACCATCTGCACCAATCGGTAAGCAATCTCTCTCTTTACGAACTAACCCCTGCCTCCCATTGACACTAACCCAATGAATACTTCATCTATCTAGGAGCAGCCTTGACACACAACCATGGAACATCTTGCCGAGTCAGAAAATTTCTTATATGACGAGACGTTGTCAAGATCTTTCGGTTTGTCCCCTCAACTCCACCCATTTCCTTCCACCCATTTCCTTCAGTTTTTCATACACTTCAGTCCTCATATCTAATTCTGCTTTACATTTTTTCAATTATCTCAAATTTCCTGGCTTAATCCTCAACCCGTTTTTTTGTTAAATCACCTACCTTCAATCCCATCAACCACCGTTTCATTCATCAGATCATCGATTTTATAATTTCTTTAATCCTACCACCCGTCTTAAATCATCTATAGTTATCTCTGTAACCGAAATGTCTTCTTCGTCTCACGCCACCAGCTCCCGCCGACGCAGTGACCGGCCTTCACCTGCTACGAAGCAATCCCACATGATGGCTCCCCCTACCGACTCACGCCGGTCCCTCCAACGTCACCACAGTGATTCCGAATCCAAAGCATCTGTTCACAAATCTACCAAACGTAAGCGAGACATTATCATCTCAGACAACGAGTCTTCCGATCACTCGGCCAACACTGTCACCAGCAACCAACGTCGCAAAACCGACCATTCTGATCAATCAACCAGTGCCGCTAAACAACGCCGCAAAAGTTCCAAACAACCTGCCACCAAATCTCAAAAGCGATCGAAGCCTACACCATCGGAACCAGTTCCCTCACAAACCTCCGTTCAAGCTTCTTCCAGCCAAGTCGGGTTAGAACTTGAAGTTAATTTAGTGCAAGATTCAGATGACAAGAATGAGAAAGTTGCGAAGAAAGAACCGAAGAAAAAAGAAGTAATCATTTTTGACCCCATCAAAGACTACTATGGACCTCTTGATCTCGATGGAATTCACCGGTGTTGCAAGTATTGCCGAAAGAATGTCAGCAGTGGAGGAGGCTCTACTTCGAATTTGTTGACCCATCGAGACGGATCGATGCAAGCTGGAAAATCCGGACATCCTGGCTGCAAGAAGCGGGATCTCGCCATCGAACAAGGATGCATACTACCGCTCACCGCCTTCGAAAGGCGAAATCAACCCAAGAACACTTCAGAGGACGGTCAAACCTCAATCATGGCTTTTGCACAGAAGGTTCCTAAGTTTGATAACCGGACACTTAATCAATTGATGGGTATGTGGGTCATCAGGACAGCACAACCGTGGCTTCGAATGCAAGATCAATATTTACGAGCCGCATTTAGGTTTGCTAACCCAAATGCTCAGCTCTATGGAAGAACGTGGGTTGCCAAGTTTGCACATGAGGCATACATGGATATGCGGGCTTCCGTCTTTGATGAACTCAAGGTGATAATTTTTTCATGTTCTTTCTTTTTCATCTCGTCTTTGATAGAGCCACTAATTGTTGTTTTGTTTGAACACCCTCCAGAATCTTACTAGCTCTTTTGGCCTTGTCCACGACGCTTGGACCACGAAGGGAAATCGGTACGGATTCCTTGGAGCAGCCGTAACCTTTGTCACTAAAGACTGGAAGTTTGTGACCCGCCATCTGGCCCTCAAACTGATCGCTTGGCATCATAAAGGAGAGTGGCTCGCTGAGCCTTTGATAAATCTCCTGACCAAGCATGGGATTCATACTAAGATAAGTCGATCTCTATTTTTCATTATCCATCTATGTCTCTTAACGATCTTTACATATATTTCCGATGCTAACTTTTCGACTTTATCTACATGTTGGCGCAGACTCATGACTCCGGAAGCAACAATAACACCCTTGCTGAAGCAATGCAAGTCCGACTCCGGAAGTACAGCGAAGACCGAGGCGAAAACTTCGAATGGAACCACGAGAAGCACCGCGTCCGTTGTGTATGTCACAAGCTTGCCCTGATCGTCAACGCAGGACTTCAGGCTCTAGGCCTACAAGCCCCACCACCCGCTCTGGTTAAATCTACCATGCTGGGCGACTTCCCGGTCCCAACAACCACTTTACACTCGATTCCTGAAGAAGAAGAACCATCCGAAGATGACGAAGCTGCCTCTGATACAGACGAAGCTGAGGTTGATGACTCAGAGCACAAGACCGCTGAAGAAAGTCCTGATTGGTATGGTGTAATCGACGGTCCTCATCTTCCACCTGATCTTCCGGAACCTTCAGCAACCAACCGCAATGAGGCCAATGCTGTCCATACGCTTATGTCTAAGGTGAGTTTTTTTATTAATATTGTATATAAATATTTTCTCTTACTGATATCAATTATTTCGTAGCTTGATGTAATTGGTCGCAAGATCGGAGGGTCAGCTGTAATGTGTTCCCTTTTTGATGCGGTTTCCCAAGCAATGCTTTCCGAGAAACTCCCACGACCGATTCCAGGGTATGGTATACGCTGGAACATCAAACTGCAATGTTGGCAACGACTTTACAAAGCGCGCGAGGTAAGTGACACACATCTCTTCCACCATATCAATGTTCCTTCTATTTTGTTAGCTAATGTCTGTCTTGTTGATAGGTCATCGATCAAATCCTTGAAGAAGATCAGATGGACCCACCTCGCAAGGCTGGTCCAAGCCGCGCCGGTGAAACACCTTTAGCGCCCGATGTCCATCGCCCCCGAGGGATTTTCAACAAGGTAATGATTACACCTGATGAATGGCGACAAGTCCGAGAGATCATCTCAGTTCTGAAGGTAAATGATTTTTTTGATCGTTAAAGTACTCTATCATTACTGATCACATTCAATGTAGAAGTTCGAGACGTTGACCAAGTTCTTTGAGCAAGATGGACCAACTGGCTCTGTACTCATACGAGAGTATGTCAAACTCAAGAAAAGCATTCAAAAGAGGATCGACGCAACTGCATCTCGATCGGAACCCCTTTTTCCAATGTATCACGCAATGCTCGTGCGCGTGGAGGCTTATCTCAAAGAGGCACTTAGTTCAGACACCTTAGTGCTTGCCACTATAATGAATCCAAGCCTTCGATTGGACTACTTTGATTACGCATTTGGATCAAGCTCAAATGAGACTTTCAGGGCCAAAGATTTGATAGAGACGGCTTATAACAACAAGAAGATTGACATTGAGGCCAAAGGACCGTCTACACCCACTCCTTCAACTCCCAAAGATCCATGTGGTGTCAGCTTAGCAGTCGAGGATGAAGATTTTCGCCGTCATAAAGAACTCAATCGTCGAAACACAGCAAATGAACTACGATCTTACCTGGAGATGGCTGAAGAACCTTCTGCGGACGTGGAAATGAATCCTCACTTGGCTTTGGAATGGTGGAAGGTGTGTTTTCCTTTGTTCCCCCTTTATTCCCACCTATCTATGGCTAATTTTTCATTTTCATCTGAAGGTCAATGAAGGTAAATATCCGATCCTGAGTCACCTTGCACGGGATTACCTTGCGATCAGTGCCACATCGTGCGCTGTTGAGAGAACTTTCTCATCAGCTGCCGATGTCTGCACTGCCGATCGAAGCTCTCTCAAGCCACGACCAATCGAACGGCTAGTCTCTGGGCGTATGTGGTCAGTGGAAGGTGTGCAGATGAAAGGGCAATTTAAACATGCACAGACGGTTATGACAGTGTATCTCAAATGATGAAAACTCACGTAAGAGGCGGGGAGGGAATTCAGCTGATTGATAATAAAATGGTTTTCTTTTTTCTTTTTGTTTGTTTCCTGCTTCCTTGTTTATATTTTCATTTTATTATACTATGCCCTTTATGCTATGCCTGCTCCTTTTTCTTTATGCCTGTGCTCCCTTCATGTATGCCCATTTTTCCCTTAATGATAACTAAGTTTTTGTGACCGTGCCTCAGTGAGTAAAAATTGTGGTACCTTTCTGGTATCCCAACTACTAGTAGCCTAGACCCAATTACGATATAGTATCGGTATCCAATTTTCACATGGCGGTACGGTACAGTACCGTACCGCTTCTTTTTGTGCCAATACCGGTATAGTACCGTATTGGGTGACTACACTGAGTACGATACTGGCTAAAAGGTCATAAGGCGTGCCCGCCCTCTGGATACGATACTTGATATCGTATCCAGGCGGCGGTACGGTACGCAGTACCGGCTCTCAAAGTATCATGTGGCCGAGTACGGTACTGGTATCGCCCGGTACGATACCAGTACCGTATCTGTGGCTGCGTTGTTACAACCTGTAACAAGCACTGAGATTTGGCTCATTAGTGTTTAGAGAAACTTTTGATTTCTGAAAATACTCATAACTTTTTCAATTCCGGTCCAAAACGCTCGATTTTGGGTGCATTGGTAAGCTGGAATTGTCCTCCAAATAGTTCATAATAGGACCACACAGCATGCTGGTCTGCTAAAAAAGATATAATCTTTTTTGTACATTTGTACATACAGATCCATAGAATGATTGTCATACTAGCTACATAGTGCTTGACCTTATGAAAGTTTGAGAGGAAGAGTTCAGCTTTCTAATGCACTTAAAATCGAGTGTTTTGAGGCAGATTTGACAAAGTTATAGGTGTTTTCAGAAATCAAAAGTTTCTCTAAACACTAA